AAAAAAAAAAAAAAAAAAAAAAAAAAAAAAAAAAAAAAAAAAAAAATTAAAAAAAAATTTAAAAAAAAAATTTAAAAAAAAAAAAAACTCTTACTTGTAATGAAATAAAGTAATAACTATACATTTGTTCAATATTCTAGAAATTATTCATTGAATTTCTTCTTTATCTATAGCACGACACACACTCTCGTTTATTACGCAGATACCAAGAGAGAGAGAGAGAGAGAGACGAGACCCTGAATACCTTTGACACAATATTTACCACCATATATACATTCTCTCCTTCAATTAATAAAGTTAAAGACAAAAAGTTTTCCGAAAAAAGCAGAAAATAAAATCATAATTTATTTCGCCTTGATGGTCTATACAATATAAACCGAACAAGCAGACAGTTTTTCTTAAAAAGATACAGCTTTCTATCAGTGTTGGGGGAGAATCCAGTTAAAATTCAAGACAAAAGAGTGGAAGGAATGACGACCAGCACGCATCAGTATAATTATAATAGGAGGAATTCAAACACAACCCCATACACAATCCCTTACAAGAATCAGCATCCTTCCTTGTCTTTGCATGATGAAAAAACATCTCAACTATCTACATCCTTTCAACAAAACTACGAAGACCTTCCTTCTGGCACTCGGCAGTACCAACAAGCAAATCCCCAGCATAGTAATGATGCCACGACTCTACCTATGACACTGCACCAACAAGGACACACAAAATATCAGTCTAATGACACCCTATCGGCAATTGCATCACCTCCACTATCGTCACAACCAGTGCCCAAACTCTCAAGGGAATTTGTTGCGCGTAGAATCAGCGAAGGGGAAACAGGAAGAGTGAAGGAAGAGTTAAGATGTGAGGCATGCGGGAAGGGGTATAAGCATATCTCGTCATTAGCCAAGCATTTATGGGAACACACTCCCGAATGGAATGTCACCAAGAAATTACTCATTTCAAAACACCAACAAGTGCAACTATTGGAAGCAGCTAGTATTCTTGTAGGTATGAATGAGCATGGCAACGGAAATAATAAAATAGTTGAAAATGGCATGCAAACCGCACGAGAAAGAATTCATAAGCGAGCAGTCTCGGAACAGTTCACTTCGAGTCTGGACTCACCTTTTTCACCAACAAGAGAACCAAGTGTTGAGCCTTCTTCTGCTATTGACAACTCGCTGAGCACGCCAACGCCGCCTATTTCAGCACACTATGACTTGGAGAATAAATATGTTGATCCGGTGAATGGTAACTGCGATGAATATCAAATAAAAACAGATTCTGCACATTCCGTATCTCAATATTCGCCTTCTCGCCCGAAAGTTACTCCCTCATCTCCGCTGTTGAGCGATACACAATACACAAATCATACAAGTCAAAACTACGAAGCCGTACCGCATAGTGAACAAAAGGAGTCAAAGACACCTCTACAGAGCAATTTTTCAGCAAATGAAAACAACAACAATAACAATAATAATAATAATAGTAATAGTAGTCGTAGGAAAACAGTTCAGAACAAATTCGAATATCCCGTTAAAGCTAACTTCATTATAATGGAGGAGCCGATGAATTATGCAAAAAAGAGTAAAAAACTGGCAGGTGGACACCAAGTTCATGAGGAAAGTATAGTTGGCAAAATGGAGGAGAGTTCGTCATCATAGTTCCTCGAAAACCGGCATTAATACATTGTTACCCAGCTGTCGATATATATCATACATATACAAAAAAGAAAGTAAGAAATTGTTTAAATAGAAAAGTGATATATTTAATATAAATATAAATATAAATATAAATATTAATATATATATATGTATATATATGGAGAGTTTATTGATTTTCGTAAATTGTTGGGCCTGGCAACTCCCCTCTCTCTCTTTCTGATGTGTTAGACCAGTTGAAGCATTTTTACAATCCTTTGCTACCAAGTCCCACACAGGGAACAAATTTTTTTTTCGGTTTTTTTTCCCTTTCATTTTTCTTCTTGTTTTTAAATCAAAATATCGAATGCATAGAATCAGAAGTCTTGGTCTGATTCCAAAGATTCAAATATCTTCTTAAAATGACAACCCGTTTTGGCGAGTCTACAAGAAGCAAGACTTGTAGGATTCTGCAAAAAAATTTGATTTTGATAAGTCAAATAAGGACCGTTTTTACCAAAGGAGGTCGGCATTCGTATAACAATATAAAGATTACCAATACAGTGCATCATAGTACATCAGAGGAACTCGGAATAAACGTTTAGTTTATTCTATTTTTCAACTTCCTGGTGTCTCCAAGAACACGTACATTTTGATTCATTAACAAACTCTTTTCTTTTTCTTTTTCTTTTTCTAACTATTTACTCAGTTCATCGGTACCACGAATGATCTCACTATTTAAGGGCTGTATTTCCAAATACTTTGCTTTTAATTCAATTTGTTCTTTATGTTCAGCTTCATTAGCTTTTTGCTTTTTCGATTTTTCCCTCTTTGCCTGAATTCGCTCAGCGTCCTTTATTGGTCCTTGACGTAATGCCGCTCTTTCTGTTTGCTGCGAATAATTTATAAATACAAAAGCCCCTACAGCAAAAGCTATGGATGCCCCTAGCGTGACTTTAGAAGCCGTTGACATCTTTTGTTGTACTGGTGGAAAAACAAAATTACTCGGTTTTGATTTTCGACAAATTTGGTGGTTTGGCTTTGCCCTATTCTTTTTTTTTTTTTCCTCTCTCCTAATTTGTTTAAGGCGGAGAGAGTCGGAAAAAGCCAAAAGTAAAATTATCTTGGGTGCAAAACGATACTCTCCACTATCGAGCAGAGCGAAATGCTTCACTATCGAGCAGAGCGAGATAGTGGAGCACTTGTAAATAGATACTATCGAGCAGAACAAGATAGTGGAGCACTTGCAAATATACTTAAGATTGTCTAGTATCCAATTAGGTATAGACTATCTCGCTTTGCTCGATAGTGGAGCACTCAAAATTGTCTAGTATCCAATTAGATATAGACCATCTCGCTTTGCTCGATAGTGGAGCACTCAAAATTGTCTAGTATCCAATTAGATATAGACTATCTCGCTTTGCTCGATAGTCTCCAAGTGTTTACTCGGTTCGTTTTGTCCATGTGCATGATTTATCGTTTTTATTTTTTCTGTTAGTCTTTTAGATTTCTTTTTTGGGATGAGATATCCAGCGGCCTTGAGTGACTAAAAAGGTTCACTGATATCCTTCTTTTTGATTCAATGCGCCAATTCAAATCCAAAAAAGCTTGACACTCTTGTCACCAATGTACTTATTTAATTTTTTTTTAGATAAAAGGTGAGATGACGGCTTAGAGGTATTGTCAAGACAGGAGGGTAAAACTGTGAAAAGGTCATTCATGACATAAAAACCATCTGGCAAAAGTTTGAATTTTTTGCAATGACGAAAAGTATATATAGGCTATTTAGCTTTTATGGACTAATCTCTATCGAAGAACATTACATATTTTAAGGATCCAAATCATCAGAGTTTTGTCATCTTGTTGTCTCTACCACTGTACTAGAAGTCAGTTTTCTCATTGTGTTGTCTCTGCCACTGTACTAGAAGTCAGATCTTTCATTGTGTTGTCTCTTCCACTGCACTAGTAGTTAGTTTTGTTCATCTCTAAATACAGCGAATGTTGTCTCAACTAATTCTAATATATACATGAAATTGGCCCAGCATAAAAATTGCAATAATAGTTAATAACAATCCATCTATTTAAAACTTTCATTTAAAGTAAGGAAAACTCACGCACACATATACACATACACACACACACACACACACACACACACACCATATCTGTCTTGGATCTTATCCCATACGCTTCTAAAACATATCAACTCCGAGATACCAATTATTTCAAATATTTACACTAAAGGTCAAAATCCGCTAAGAATATTACAAAGCAAAAGAAAGTTTTGTTTGACTAACTAGAACCTGAAGTCGTGGTGTGTGTGTTTACTTGGCAATCAAACGACGACATAATAATACATCATCACACACAAAAAACTACGGGACAGAAAGTCTAACATTGATACTATTATTAAACAAAAAAAAAAGGCTCATGCTAATATAGGATATTGGTACCATAATGTCTTTAAACTACTTTGACAACGACAGCGACAACAACAAAAACAGCAACGAAACTTCCGCAGTGGTGAACTCCAATTCATTTATAGACCCTAAGTCACACAGCGAGCAATCCCAAAATATGTATACGCAACAGCTAAATCAGTCTAACACCTTGTCAGGACCAACTACATCTTCTGCTTCCAAACCACAAATGTCAAATTTGACAAAGACACTATTGTCATCCACAAAACCTCGCCCACAAAACCAGCAGAATAATAACAACAACAACAACAACAACAACAACAACAACAACAACAACAACAACACCGATACCACCCATTCAACCGAGGAATTAAATGTTTTGTCGGGAGTCGAATACAACAATGATTCTACTAATAATGGCCACCTCGAAAATGATCTACAAAGGTATCCGGGCCCGTTCCCCCAACGGATTCCTATAGTACAAAATTCTTACAACTATATCCCATCAACGCATAACACCCCAACTGCAGTCTGCTCATCATACACGTCGAACCATTCATATAAGGCTTCGTTGCCAACAACACACAGCTTTGTCACACAACCACCTGGACCTTCGTTAAGCGATCGTCACGGTGTAGCTTCTTCGTCGAGTTTCAGACCAAATGCAATGCCACATGCATTGCCAACTACGACGCTTCACACGGATACCGCAGTGCCAAGCAGACCCTCATGCACATTATCATCATCATCCGCTACATTCAATCAGCCTTCTCAGCTGTTAAATGAAGCAGCATTTTCCATCCCTAATCAATTTCTTCCGCCAACGGTACATCCAACAAATTCAAATGCATATTCAAATTCAAATTCATTATCTGATCAGCAAAGGATGCCCAATTCATTTCCCACACGCCATTATCCAAATAACGTTTATGGTACGAAGGAGCAGCAGCGAACGGCGCCTACCGTCAGTAGACTTTATCAGTTATTGTCTAATGATAAACAACCACATACAACGTCTTCATCACCTGCTTTAAGTAGACACTCAACGGAAATATCAAACCAGACAAGCGGTATTCAGAATAATAGTAGTGATGGGGAACGTAAGGATACGAGTGATTCACTTGGTACCACTTCCTTCTATTTTGAGAACCATGAACAACTGCATCAGCAACAACAACAACAACAAGAACAGCAGCAGCAACAACAAGAACAGCAACAACAGAAGCAGCAACAACAACAGCAACAACAACAACAACAACAACAACAACAACAGAAGCAGCAACAACAACAACAACAACAACAACAACAACAACAACAACAACAACAACAACAACAGAAGCAGCAGCAGCAGCAGACACTACAACAGTCTCAACATTCACAATCACCTTATGTGCAACCTGAGCCAGATCACTACATGACTTATAGCGAATTTTTACGGGAGCTTAATAGGAAATCTGCCGAAAGCGGGTCAAACGTAGAGCATTTAAATATTGTTGATTTTCCAGTAAACGACTTGATTGTCATGTTATCTTGTCTACTCACCAAGATAATTGAAGCCAACGATAAATTGCACCCTAACCATTTTGAAAATACTATTGCCATTAGACAAAAGATTAAAGAAGAGAGAAAATTAAGAAAAGCACAAAAGAGGAAGAAACAGCTAGAGCAGGAGCAAGGATCGATTATAGATGAAGATAAAATAGAAGTTGATCAAAACGATAGTAATGACAACAATCGTCTGGATGACAATATCATGGTTCGTGTGCACAGCGAAGATGGTATGGAGTATGAAGATCATGACGATCAGGATGATGATGATGAAGATGACGAGATGAAAAACAAGTACCTAGCAAATGTTTTAGCCTTCCATGGCACAAATGTTCCTGGTATATCCCTACATGCATACTTATCTCGTGTTCTAAAGTATTGTCCAGTTACTAATGAAGTGTTTTTATCGCTCTTAGTATACTTTGATAGAATTGCCAAAAAGGCTAATAATTTCAATAAAAAAGTGAAAGCAGATCACAATGGCGTGCAGAATGGAGACTACAAGGGTGATAGCAACGACGACAACGGCGGTAATTCCTCATCTTTGGAAACGGAACAATTATTTGTCATGGACTCATACAACATACATCGTTTAATAATAAGTGGTATAACAGTGTCATCCAAGTTCTTTCTGGATATCTTTTACAAGAATTTGAGATATGCCAAAGTCGGAGGCTTGCCCTTGGAAGAGTTGAATTACTTGGAACTACAATTTTTATTGTTGTTGGATTTCAAATTAATGATCAGTGTGGAGGATCTTCAAAATTATGGAGATTTACTAACCAGGTTTTGGAAAAGAGAACAATTGGCAAAGGATGCTAATAGTTCTAATGGCGCTAGTTCTAGTAATCAAGAAGTTCCTGTTGCTGCGCCCAGCAGCGAGGTCAGAAGCTGATGGATCAAAACAGTTTAAGTTGGTCTATACCCATTGATATATATATTTGATATTCTGTAAACAGAAATTTCATCACTTGTTCTCAGAGGTGTGTTATGCTCTGGCTACTGATTTGTAGAGCAACTCAAAGTCAAAATGTATGGGAGCAGTATTATTTATATAATGAGTTTGATTAAAAATCAACGAGTACTGATATTTAATTGGGCTCCTCTAGTCAGCAAAGGAATTCTTTAATAAATTTTTACAAGGTTGTAGAGAACAAGCTCAGAATAAGTTTACAAAACAAAAAGAAAACAAAAAAAGAACCAAAGTTTTCAAGTTCTATCAACTACACAATCTTGCTTACACATTAGACAACGACATCACCATATAATACGATTGCATCGACTAATAGTTTACCAGAAACAATGTTTTCTTAGCAAAATGCAATAACATTTATATTGACAAAATAATGTATCCTCCAAGTCTTACTCTATATATATCCGTGTTGCTAAACAGTGTTGCTCCACTCGATAGTGTGTTTGGTTTTTTTTGTATTTTTTTTCTTTTGGGGCTCACAACTTTTATAATGCAATTGGATTAATGCTTGGCCCTGGGAATCCATTCAGGGGCATTTTTGACACAGTGAGTCCCTGAACATCCACACCTTTTCAATTTAGTGACATCAGTCTGTTTATCTTCAACTATTAGTGAAGGGTGGTATTTTGGCAACTCCAGTTTCATAACTGAGGTTTTCTTGGGAGGAATATAACCGCCACTATCGATATAGTTCTTAAGTACTGCCTTTTCCATAATGAGTTAGTTCAACGAAAAAAAAAAGGGTCGTTGCTTGTCAAAGAGAAAACAGTATAAAAAGAGAAAGTACTAATATCCTAGATCTTCGGTATACATTATATATCCGTAATCACCATTCTTATACCCATACCTGTTTCCCATTACACAGAATATCTCAAAAAAAAAATAAATGAGTAATATCCCGAGATTTGTATTCTTTTACTGATAAGAAAACAAGAGAAGAAAAAAAGAAATACTAATCATGCACATATAGTCTAGTCTCTCTCTTTGATTGCAAATGTTGCGAAAAGAACCAAATATAGCAAGTAAATAAATAAAAAAAAACACGGTCAAGAGGCGATCTCTTATCTCTCAAAATTTAGACGATGGTCGCACGACTCCCGAATACGTTCAGTCGACCAGAGCTTAGTCAGTAATTGGATCTCTCCTGTTAAGCTGTTGAGATTTTGTATAGTTTCAAGGGTTTGACGCAATGCTGACTTAACCTTTTTATGTTTTTTATATATTAAACACAGTTTGTCTTCACTAGCATATTAATAACGATTTGAAAGATCAAGAGCAGAATCGGATTGAAACTTGGTTGGATTCATCCATCATGTGCTGATTTTGCTGTGAATCGTTCATTCAAGTCAAATCCGTTCAAAATTTATTAGGCAACGAGAATAAAGTAAGTGATTCTTCTGTGTGGCCATATACACAAAATTTATTGTAAAAAAAAAAACTCACACTTTCACAAACTCATCAAATTTAAAAGAGATTAAATACTACTTGTGTAATTGTGCCAGTTTCTCACAAAGAGAAAAACAAACACTTGAGAGAGGTAGGATAAAAGGATATCCCAATAACAGTCAAAAATTCAATCTTGATTTTTTCCAAAAAAATATATTGTACATTCAAAAAAAAGTCATGCTGCTAACTATACCTCCCTTCGTCTGACTTATTTTTTACCGAGTTTTTTAGTAGAAGCTTTCTTCTCCTTGTCTTCCTGCTCTTTCAACACTCTCTTAACAATCTTTTGTTCTTCAATCAAAAAGGCTCTGACAATTCTTTCTTTGACACAGTTGGCACATCTTGAACCACCATAAGCTCTTTGAACGGTTTTGTGAGTTCTTGAAACTTGAGCATACTCTCTTGGTCTCAAAGTTGAGATACCAGCCAAAGCGGATCCACAGTCACCACATTTAACTCTTGAAGCAGCTTTTTTAACGTGCTGAGCAACTAATTTACCACCTGGGGTCTTAACAACCTTGATCTTGTTTGACTTGGTGTTATCTATATTAATTTGTTAGTATGCAACGCTTTGTGGTTTATAACCAAATCACGGAGGAAGAGAAGGCATCGGAAAGTAGGTAAAACTATATCTTTTTGGGAAAAGCCCATTTCAAATCGTGATGGTTAACAGAAACTACCCAGTTCCAAACAATCACAAATTGAATGTTGCGTGTTATCAAGGTGGATAATGACAATATATGCATATAAATATATGCTAATAAACTCATTCACATGGACACTCCAGTTTGAGGTTATGTGCATTGCATTTCCATATAGTCCTCTCTTCCTAAATACCATTCTCTTCTCATCCCACTCCACACTTCTCTCCTTTCCAAGTTTAGTTGATAACTCGGGAACGCAGTATAGATTAAAAAAGACATACATGGATTTCTTCTTCTATAAGTTACACGTTGAGCCATTGTTGATTTGGTGTATTAGGAGATCTTATTGGGTATAGAATTCTTTGAAAATATTGAAATTTTCTTCACACCTATTCAAAATCCTCCCTCATTGAAAAAAAAAAAAAAAATTAATTAGTATATTGTAACTAACTGTATAGAGGTCCATATTGGGGAGCGTTTTGTATGAAGGTACTGATGCATTTTTCTTTTTAATTTCCTAATTGGTTACACGTGACCTTATGTGACGGTTCATTGTTTTTTTTTATATCAACAGAGAAAAGTCAGTAAGGTATATGCAGTACTTAATAATGAAACATAATAACTTTTGTTAGTAAATTTATATCACTATATTTGAGGTTTACCTAGTTGCTAAACCGGGCGCTCTTTACCTAGCTGGGTATGGAGATGTGATGTTGAAGGTAATGTTTATTGAGAATTGAGTTGAAGCTACAATTTGCGCTAAAAAAAAAAGAGCACGAATTTGTAACTACTATTATCATTACTGTAAAAAGTCTTTTTTATTTAAACTCGTACAATATAAAGTTGGAAATCAGAGTGTCACTTTTGATAAAACGCTTTTTTCTCAAATTGAATTATCTTGGTAACTTATTTTACATTATGTGGTCATAACAGCAATTCGTATTGGAGGAGAAGAAGAAGAAGTGCTCCACTATCGACCAGAGCGAAATAGTGGAAATGGTGTCACTAGTCAGTGCTGCTCTCACTAGTCAGTACTTCTCTCACTAGTCAGTGCTACCCTCACTAGTCAGTGCCTCTCCACTATCTCGCTCTGCTCGATAGTGGAGATATTCATCTATCTGATGCTTTGACAATTGGTAGCTTCACTGACCGATAATTAAATAGGTTCCAGTTTCTTTGTTTGACGCTCCTGCTGTCTTTCCCTATCTTAGCCCATGTCTTATCTACTTACAACCTATGGATATTCTCTAGAGATTTTATCAAATTACTCAAGGTTGCAGAAATGCATTTTTGATTCTACGGCAAGAATTATAAGCAAGTGTTATTTTTTTTTTTTACTTCGACACTATCTGTCACCGACACTATCGACACTATCCTTTGACTGTTCTATAATTTAGTATCGTCTCTTTCAACAGCAATAACTTCCATTTCTAAAGGAACTCCCAATGGCAACTCTTTAACCGCAACACACGATCTAGCTGGCTTATGTTCAGAGAAATATTTCCCATAAACTTTATTAAACTCACCAAATTGTGCCCCCATATCAGTTAAAAAGATATTGGCCTTGACAATGTGGTTTAATGATGAGTTGGAAGCTTCTAATATAGCGGCAACATTTTGTATAACTTGTTCTGCATGGTCTTGGATTGTTGCTGATTGTGGTAATGGCTTGTTTTCGGGGGTGTATGGAATTTGGCCAGAGACGTAAATGAAACCTGTGTTTGGTGTGATACATTGGTTAGTTTCTTGCTCTTATTTATCTTTTATTGCCGTGCAAATTGGTAGGATATGGATCTAGTGAGCCCACGGATCAGTCCTTGCTAGTTTCTTTGTGGGTTTTTTTTTTACGTACCATTGACTTTGATAGCTTGGGAGTATGAAGCAGCGGGTGGAGGTGCTTGTGAAGTTCTCACCTAGAGAGCAAAGGTTAGTTCTACATTTCTTTTCCTTTTAATGGTTTTGTTTCCATTCCTGAAGGTAATTGCTCAACATACTGGTGTAATTGAAGAATTGAACCTCTTGGCTGACATGATTGTGGATCTTAAGGTTTGCGACTTGATAGCTTTGCTAAACATTTAAAGAGCTGAGTTAATCGTAATTATCTCGGCTTTATATTGAAAAACTCCCTTGTTTTTTTGTTTTTTTTCTAGAATGGTTTTTGATTCTCTTTGATCCACACTTTTGCAAAGGAGTCAGAAAACGCAATGAATAAAAAAAAAAGAAAAAGAAAAAGTGATAGAGTCAGAAAAACATTGAAAATGTTTGGTCTCCATGATGAAACGTGGGGGTGTTACCTTGTTAGTAGGGGGTTGGGCTCAAAATGAGAGGTTTAATCATTTTCATCGTTTTATTATCCTTTATCTACCCTTTTTTACTTTCTCTTTTCACTATATCTTACATATATAAGCTATGTTTTCCTTGACTTGGATTTCTGCATCATTGGCTTTTCCTTTGTAGGTCTTTCTTCAAATTGTCCTTCTCCATTGAGGAAATCAAAGCTGAACTCAGCTTCTGTATCTGCTTTCTCTTCATTGGCCTTTGATGAAATGAATGTCGTTTCAACACCTGCTGCAGGATCACCAGATGTGATGACCGCTTCAAACCGTCTAAATAAGGCTTCAACAAAGTTTTCAATTTTACCAAACAAATTGAAATTATCAAAGAAAAATCGAAAATCTCGCTCTATGCGTTCCAAATCCTTCAGTCCTTCTCTTTCTTTACCGAGAACAATTGACAAATTTGATTCCATTCGTTTGGTGAATGAGGCAAGTATGTTTTTGTGACGCGCGTTTGAATCCAAATCATCACTTATACTTTCTGAACTCATATCTTCATATATGGCAAATAATTTTCGTTCGTCTTCAAGAGAAATAGCTTCACTGGCAAGTCGATTCGCCGTTTCCACTTGTAATGGTTCGTTATTTGCATTTTTTATTTTAAAATACAATTGTCTAGCATCTGGAACTTTCCCTATCCAACGAATCAAAAGCAGCAGTAATTCAGCGTTATAATCATGAATGTCATCTTTTCCAGAGGAGGCTTCCAACCTGATAATTTTGAGCTTTACTAACTGATTGATCATAAGACAAAGAAGGGTCATAATTTTTTTGGCAATTGACTCAGCCAAAATCACTTCATACCCGCCATCTATTTCCAAGCCTTTATCTGCTGATAAATAAAAGGCGCTATTAGTGAAAAATTCATTAAGCAACATCAGTAGCTCGACTTCACTTAAGATAAGCGAATCTCCTTGTCTCGAAAATTCATACGGTGCACTATTTTCAGGTCGTCCCCGAAGCCCAGCTGCTAGCTGGAAAACATAATCAATGAGAAGATTTGAAAGGTTCACTTCATGTGTTAGATACCATATTAGCATCCTTCTATGACCCTCGCACATCAACATTTCATCCATCATTGCTCTCGCAAGTCTCGAGTTAGTTTGGAATATAAGTTCGAAATGTGTAATGCTGAAAATTGGAATAATTGATTTGTTACTCTCTTGTACAACTTTCACAAACTCCTCTGGAGCAGGAGATGACCAATACGAGTGAATCACTTCCGGCATCACATCCTCCACGTTACCCAATTTCTCACCTTTGTTGGATTTTTTATATTCCATCACACACTTGGCTATAGTGTTTACTGCCGTTTGTCCTAAAAGCCTCTCAGCATCGGCATTTCCTTCGATGCTCGTTACGCAAAGAAAGTCAAAAACATCGTGTAACTCTTTCCAAGAAGTAAAGAAATCATCGGAATCACTCTTATTAGACAACACATCGTATTCCTTGAATTTATCTAGAAAATGTTGCTTGAATTTGGCATTTTCGCCCCGCGGTATATCCCTCCAATCACGTCCAAATTCATCAAACTGTATATCAACATTCTCATTTGATAATGCTTGTTCCGTATCGGAATCATGCCCATCACCAACGGCAAGAGATTTCTCTTCGTGACTGGTTTTGTTGCATGTACTTTCATCATCTGCGCCTTCTTCATCCTCATCTTCATCTTCATTGTCATCGTCACCGTCATCGTCATCGTCATCGTCATCAAGATCGTATTCCAACATGTATTTGATATCTTCATCAAACCTATCAGCATATTCTAGATCCACTAATAAGTCTCCTATTTCAGCTAAAGGTTTTGATCTATTGATTTGTCTTTGTACCTTAGATTCTGACTCATCTTTTTCCTCCCTCTCGTCCTTCTCCTTCTCTTGCTCCTCCCTCTTTTCCGTATAACTTTCACTAACAAACGAAGTGCCTGAATATAAAATCAATAAGCCGATAGTGATGAGCCTCATATCTACCAGAATAGCACCCCCATTTATGGTCTTTCTCGCTAAAGGCTGGATAAAATTGAATATAGGCTCATTCTCCAAATCATGACATAGTTTACTCTCTTGTACACTGGAGTCTTCTTCACTAGACAGCGATGGATTTTGATTGATTACCCATGCAAGAACGTACCTTATTGAGCTTGAACCCTTTAATGCAGATACAATAATTTCTGGTGTTTCTTTTTCTTCGTTTCTTTCGTGATTTTCGAATTCAATTCTGCGATCAATTTCAAGTCCAAGTAAAATAACATTGGTATGGCTTTTCCAGAGTTTTAAAAAATAATGCAAATAAGGGTTCATTGCAAGATTATAGTCACCCCTTTTCGGCGTGAATAACTTTTGAATAGACATAACAAGTACACACGCCATTGAGTACAATAAACCGAGAGTAAATGTGTTGGCTACAACGGGTGTCCATTCCTTAACACGGCTTTGCCAATTTTCCTCTCCATTGTCAACAAATCGTAACCGTATTTCATCAGTGACGTTTAGTTTCGTATGTATCAATTGAAGTAAATGGAAAAAAGTGGTGGATATTTCAAACTTGATCGATTCAGTCACCAAATCAGAAGCACCAACGTTCAACTCAGTATACGATGTATAAACAATCGAAATTAACAAATCCGAAATACACCCAACACTCAATATACATTTCTCGGTTTCCTCTGGTTGTGTATATGGGTCACATAGCGTCACAATGGTCTTGAATACAAATTGCAAAAACTCATCTCGGGCCGATAAATTTAACAAAGATGCAATGTCATTGTGTACTTCCGCAAAGTCTCTCACGTTGTTTTTCCGCGGTATGGCAAACTCAAATTCAATTTGATGCTCTATATCTTCGTCTGACTCGTTTTCCAGCATATCATCTCTCCAACTACCTAATTATGTTACCATACGGCGGCTTGATATTAATCTCTTATTGAATATATGGAGAAAAATGAGAAGCAAAAAAAAATGGACAAACCGCTACCAAAAAGGATCGGCCGCTACCAGGTGGTGAATATATATATATATATATATACATACATACATACATCAACATACGATCTCTTGTATAAAAGTAAGTCTATAAGAGAGGTGTGTATGTATATATATATATATATATTATCTCCAATAGGTGGGTAAAATAAAAGTATTGTCTCTTGAGTTTTGATCAAGATCAAGTGTAGCTTTTTATGTGGAAAACTTGTTCAAGACCTTTACCGAAAATTCCTCGAACACTTGATGTTTTGTTCTTTGAATAGGCAACTAATATAGCTAAACTTATTGAAAAAATTATGCTTTCGATTCTCAAGTTTTCCTTTGAAGGTTCTGACGGAATCAAAGTTCCTAAACCTCTTGGTGCTACAAAAAGGGCCAATTCTTTTCTTCTTTGTGGTGTTTCAATAAATGATGAAAACCCGCACATAACAGCTCCCGCAGTAGGGCATATGGTGTCATCGAACCGCGTTCTTGGGATATTTGGAAACAATTTAGGAAATAATCTGGTTCTCGCAAGACAAACGGCATACCAATAGAAACCTATATAAGCGCCCAAAAAACAGGATGAACGTATTGATGACTTTATGGCACGAACCAATCTACGTGATATCTTAACTTTCAGTTTAAATAACAACATCAACAAATTCAAAGGAGTGTAAACTGTCATTGCAAACTTGAACCCTCTCCAAAAGCGCCATAGTGCGTGTATTTCACAACTTTTGCACTTGAATGCATGAACTGCTTCACACGCTATTGGTTGATTTGAAAAAGTGTTACCACCCTTGGGGTCTCGACCATATTTCTCAAAGTATGGACGCAAATAATCTTCGTAAGGACCGTGCTCTCCATATATCAACTTTTTGTTTCTTACCAATCTCAAAACTTCAATAAAGTCAGGATCCATATTTGCAGCCGATGTGATCCACTTACCATACAGCGGTGGTAATCTTTCAGGGTAGAAAAACCAACAGAACATGATAAGTGTGCAGCTAACAACAAACAACATACCATCTCCGTACTTTGCAATACCCGGGGGTGTAATTTTTGATAATGTCGATGAAAATGCAGTGTCCATTGCTCTGGTAGCAACTAATAACGTCAAGTCCAAAGAATTGTATCTTTCCCGGGCAACAATGTGATTTTGATATAATGGAAACGTCACTAATGCTGAGGCCAAGGTTGACACCAACGTTGATAAAAATATCCTTGACGTTGGTGTCTTGAAAAGAATTTTATTCCTTTTTAACAATCCATAAATTATAGGTTCAAGTATGTTGATTCCCGCAACCAAACTCGCCGCAAATATGGGGAACTTTCTTGGGTGCAATGCATTGACAAGCGTCTTTTTTACACGTGGTAATATTTTGCCATACTGGTGTTTTTTGAAAGCACTGATAACTCGTCCAAGGATTTTTGGCAAAACCAAGTAGAGATATGCATATATGAATGCTTTAAATGACGGTTTGGTAACCCCGTTGATGAGATACTTGACGATAGGATGGGATGGTGACCTTTTTTGGCCAGCAGCACTTAGCTGGCTCATTAGCAACAGCAGCAACAACAGCAGCGGCAGCAGCAGCGGCAGCAGTAGTGACATCAGCAGGGGGGGAGGGGGATCAGTAGTGGTAGCGACAGTTAAAGTGAATAAGCGGAATATCAAAAGCTTGTTAATGTTGATAAATGAAAAAAAAAAAAAAACTCTTCTCTCTAGTGTGCGTCTGTATGTGTTTATGTGTAAGGTCAAAGAGGTGGGTAAAGGAGAGTGGAACTAGTTAAAGTAGCTTGTTACAAATTATGAGTCTCTTTCTACTTACATATTCATTAAAAAGTCCTTCATTTCGTTTCTTCTTTATTATTTTTTTCAAAACTTAATGAAATAGTTTGATTAAGGTTTAGACAACTGGCCTACCAAAGTCGTTCAACTTTTTCACTTTATTATCTTTTTTTTATTTTTCTTTTCTTTTGCAGCTATTTCACTTTAACCGAGAAATGACTTGGTAAATAGAAAATATCGTTTCATGTTGAAACCATATATCATACAGTCAGGACCAAAATGTTGTGACACCTTTCTCAGTCTATTTGCTACTGATTAGTTCTAACAAGAAAAACAAGGGAAAGTTATTATGTATTGCTCCACCATTTCGCTCTGCTCGATAGTTAGGATGTAGATTAAAAGAAACTTTGGAGTCTTGGCTATTGCAAAGTACAGTTGTTTTATAGAAGAGCAAGAAAAAAAAAAAAAATGCAACAGGACGACATCACTTTTCTAGCAGAAGTATTATGTCGTCGTATATTGATAAACATTTTATTAATGTCGCGATTTAAAGTCGTGTTTCGACGATTGTGTTAAAAATTGCATTCTAGTAAAGTCGTTAATTATAAAGTCGTCCCTTTTAGTTTTTTTTTTTTTGCTTTTTTTCTCCAACGACAAAAAAAAAATGAACTGAAATTGAAAAATAAAAAAAAAAAAAACTGATGTGTTGGTCAATTGATTTGTTATTCTGCCTTACACGTTGAAGTGCACAGAAGAAAAATTCATCAGAAAAGCACTCTTAACAAAGAACAGGTTTGGCTTAATTTACAATCGACGATTGCAACTGTACGCGTTAAAGCTATCTCCAGTGAAGAATTTACCACCATCACACAACCCACTAAAAGCAACCAATCCACAACCTTGACAACCCCATACCAACACACCGTACCCCACTTTTTGCTACCTCTTACAATCGCCAATACATTATTATTTTTTATTATTAGAGGCCTACAAGGGAAGGTGAGAATTCTTTCTATCTAATAAGAATATGGTCAAAATAAGTGAAATCAGTCGCACATCGACATTTGCGTGGAACCAGGATGCTTTACCATTGTTGGCAACAGGAACAGTAGCTGGTGCTGTGGATATAAATTTCAGTTCTTCGGCAACGTTGGAGATTTGGGATATCTTTTCACACAAGAAAAAAAAGGAACCAATCTTTAGTGCTCCAGTGGAAAATAGATTCTATGCATTGGCTTGGTCGAGTCCATATGAAGGAAGACCAAAAGGTTTATTGGCTGGTGCTTTTGAGGATGGAAGTGTTGAGTTTTGGGATGCAGAAACACTCATCAAAACAAAAGATCTTTCAAAAGCCTCAGTACACAGGTCAAATAAACACACTGGCGCTGTAAAGTCTTTACAATTCAATCCAATCCAAAAACATGTTCTTGTAACTGGTGGCTCAAATGGACAAATATTTATTTGGGATACAAAGACTTTTGATGAACCTTTTACCCCAGGTCAAGCCATGACACCGATGGATGAGATAAGCAGCGTTGCTTGGAATAACTCAGTTGGCCATATCTTGGCTAGTACGGGAAATAGTGGTTATACTTCAATTTGGGATTTGAAGTCAAAAAAGGAAATTTTGCATTTGTCCTATACAGGACCTTCCGGTAGAGCTAACTTTTCGCAAGTGGCATGGCATCCTACAAAGTCAACGAAATTGGTCACTGCTAGTGATAGCGATTCGTGTCCTGTTATTTTAACATGGGATTTGAGAAACTCAAATGCTCCTGAAAAAATCATGGAAGGTCACAAGAAGGGGGTGTTGTCCCTAGATTGGTGTAAAAAAGATCCCGAACTATTGATGTCTAGCGGGAAGGATAATGCAACGTTGTTGTGGAATCCAATCGAGGGTAAAAAATTGGGTGAGTATCCAACTACTGCAAACTGGGCGTTTCAAACCAGGTTCGCACCTGCGGTACCCGACGTGTTTGCTACTGCTTCATTTGACGGAAAAATTGTCATTCAGTCGTTGCAGGATACCTCTCCACCTGTATCAACAAAAGTGGCTGCATCCAATGACGATAATGAATTTTGGAGTGAGCTTTCCGTAACTGAAACTCAGCAACCCGTATTTGTGTCCCAGCAAGCACCTGCATGGCTCAAGAACCCGGTTAGTGTTTCCTTTGGCTTTGGTTCAAAATTGGTGATTGTAACCAAAGATGCCACTGGCAAGTCAAATTTGAAAGTTACAAAATTTTTGGTGAAAGGTCATGAGAAGTCAGAAAAGTTGTTTGAGAATTTGAAAAACGAAGATTTTTCAACTATTATTGAAGAACGTTTGAAGAGCGTTGCAATTAACGACAATGACAAATCCGATTGGGAAGTATTGAAAGCACTTTCCAAAGATGGAAAGAAGAAGCTATTTGAAAGCGAAAAAGATGCTATTGATGATGAAACGGAGAATAGCAAAACGGACGGTTCTGTAGAAAAAAAGAACAAGGACACTGAAGATGTAAATGGCGATGATGATTTTTTTGCACATCTTGGAAATGGTAAAGTACAAGAAAGTGACAGCACGTTTACCCCCACTGGTAATTTCAAAATTTACACACTGGATAACAAGCCAGCTGACGTAAAGTTGATCAAACTGATATTGAGAAATAAAATAGATGATGCTGTTGATATTTGCCTTGAGCAGAATAGACTATTAGACGCTTTAGTGTTGGCATTAGATAGCTCTGAGCAAGTAAAGGAAAAAGTAAAGGGTGCATTCTTTAGAAAGGAAAAGGATAATAACTTGGCAAGAGTCATTTATAATGCAACTTCGAAGAATGTAACCGATCTTGTCGCACATGCAGACGTAAGTAATTGGAAGGATATTGCCGTTAGCATATCATCTTTTACAACCGACTCAGACGAATATGATCAAAAGATGGTTGAGTTGGGAGACAGAATTTTGAAGGCCGACAAGACAAACAGAAATGATGCAATTACCTGCTATATAGCTGGAGGTGCATTGGATAAAATAGCCAGTCTTTGGTTACAAGAGTTGACACGGTACGAATCTGATTTATTAAAATCGAATGAAAAGAACATTTCATCGCCATCAGAAGCACGTTTGGAAGCCTTGACAAACTTTGTTGAAAAAGTGTCGGTATACAGGCATTACTCCAAAACAACTGGTGTTATTTCTGGACCATTAGTAGAACCAATTTCAAAAACAGTTTTAGAGTTTGTAAATCTCGTTGCGGGAACAAGCGAATTTGAATTGGCTAGTAAATTGTTGCAAATGTTACCTGGAGAGTTTGCTAGTGTTGAAAAAGAGAGAATCTCAAAAGCATTTGGGAAAAATGCTGAGCCAGTAGCCCAAAAAACCGTGAAGTCTCAATCTAGAGCAGGTGCAACCACTGCGGAATTCAAGGGACCAATACAGTCCTTTACAAGTGGTGGTGGTCCTGTGCCACCTGCTTTCCAAGGCACTTCTGCCTTCCCTGCTCAACAATTGAAACCGCAATTTCAGCCAAAGATTACACCACCGTTGCATCAGCCAGCTCCAACTACATATGGACAGCAGCAACAGCAGCAGCAGCTGTTGTCTTCAACTTACCCGGCGGCAATCAGGTCCAATCCTTACGCTAGATCGAACCCATACGCACCAAGTAACATTTATAAACCAGCGTCGGCATCAGCGGTTACTCAACCTACGTCCAACTTACCAAATCCTGCTACAGGACCACCACAACCTCCACTACTGAAGGCCAATAGCACCGACGGATGGAACGATTTACCTGATACTTTCAAACCAAAATCTGCTGCTCCACGTCGTGCTGCGGCAACTGGTATTCCAAGTCCCTCTCTCATTCCCAACGCTGCATTCCCAACTACTCAAAACGCAGTTCCTCATCATTCTCAATTTGGTCCTCCAAAGAGAACAGTTTCTACAAATAATGTCGCACCTCCTCCAAAAAGCGCCAATCGTTCATCTTCTAAACAGGCTGTTCCAACACAACCAGTGTCATCTCCAAAACCAGCACCAAGCGTGTCAAGTAAGTATGCGCCACCTCCGGGTGCCACCTCTTCTATTCCTTCAGCCCAAGGATTAAGTGCACCATCGACCGCAAATGCGTCCCCTCGACAAGTGAAGAGAAACCCGTACGCGCCAACGGCAGTGCAAATACCTCCCAAAATTTCTTTTGCCTCACCACCAGCACAGCTGCTCTCAAGTGGACCTCCCACTCCACTGAAGCAATTTCACAAAAATCCGTACGCTCCACCTGCTAATAATGGTTACAGTCCTGCAACCGGAATTGCCATGCCTGTAAATACGCCACCACCACCACCGCCACCAGCTGCTGCAGTGCAATCGTCAATGCATCGACAATCATTTGGAACGAGCATGCCAACTCCAGTACAACCAGCTTTTAGCAGTGTTCCACCTCCTCCTCCCCCAACTGGTCCTATGACTCATAAGATGGCAGTATCAACACCAGTAGCAGCAGCACCACCACCAACACCAACACCAGCAGCAACAGTACAAGGATCTGTTCAAGAACCTGTACAGGTTGCTGTTGAAAAGCACCCCAAGGGAGACAGGTCGCATATTTCTGGAGAGGCGTTATTTATCTTCAAGTCATTGAGTACAGTTGTTGAAGCAGTGAAACCAAATATCCCAGAGAAGTACTCCAAACATGGGGCTGATATGGAACAAAGACTAAACATATTATTTGATCACTTGAACAACGAGGAGATTTCGGCATCTCTTTTAGAATCGTTGAAACAAGTGAGTTCCAGTTTAGAGCAAAAGGAATTTGAAACAGCCAAAGCCATCAATATTGACATTGCAACTAATTACAGTGATGAATTGGGTCATTGGCATACGGGTCTTAAAAGACTCATTACTATGGCAGAGGCGATGTACTAGGGCGAGAGCAAAAAACGAAAATTGTAAGTAAAATATATACACATATAAAAAAAAGAAAAAGGAAAAAAAAAAAAAGACAAGCTTTAGAGTAAATTAAGATGGTTTGTAGACACAAACAAAGAGATTTGTTAAAATTGCAGTACTGACAGCTAATAATGTCTAATAAATAAAGGTTGTTCCTATCTATTTCTACTAAAACTCTTCTTCTAATAATAATTTCTTTTTCTTTTCTTTTTTTTATTTCCTCAATAGAATACTACTTCTGCTAGCTTTGCGCCACCAACCTCTTCGTCATGTGGTATATCATCATGAATTCCTTTGACTTCAATCAAGATAAATTGACTATCTATGTTCAAATCTAAAGACGTTGTATTGTGACGTAATGGCACCATTATTTCCCTAATTTCGTCTTCTGAATAAGGCTCACTGATGTTGACTATTTCCGAGTGCACAACTTCAAATATTTCACTTTGATTGTAAAGCTTGTCCTCTGGATTAGCAAACCTGTAATTTTCGTAAACTCTGTTGCCAAAATCAACTTTGGCCAAGAAATCCGTAATATTTGTAAATTTAGATCCAGTGTATTTGGAAATCTTCAAAAATTGCGGTGGCCTATCAGCCCAATTGAACTCAACAGCAGAAACATTTTTGATTGAATGAAGGTCGACCATAACTTTTCCTGTCATGTCATTGCTTTTAGCTTGCCATCTTGTGGTGTTATCCCCATCATTCATAGAAATTGCAGCAACACCAAATGCACCTTCTGTGATATTGTAAAATGTGGCATCACCACACTCTGAGATACTGTCCACAAAACTTTTCTTTAGCACAGTTAATGGGAATGCTCTTTCTTCTTCGTCTTTCAACTGATAAGAGCCATGTGCAGGGTTCCGTTCGCTTAAAGCTAACTGTATATAGTCTCGTGCCTTAGGAAATGTTTTGCCATTATTTTTTATAGTAAAATGAGTTTGGTTGATGTTCATCGATATAGTATGATTGTCGTAATGTATTGAGTCGTATCGTACACCTTCGCCAAGACAAGGTAACGCAATAGGATCGAGATGAAGGATTCTCGATATTTTATTGTCTTTGTCGATGGTAAATTTGTGTCTCATTCCAGTGAGACCTAGTAAAGCGGCTTGTAAGAATCCACCATGTCCTGTTAAAAAGGGGAATGCTGGGTGTGTGCCACCGTTAATGTTATAGTCATCGTTATTTTGCTCTGAGAACTGAGCAAAAGGACCTCTCAAGTATGGTTGAAGGGCTTTATGCAAGTATGATTGAGATGCGCATCCTGTCGCTGCCAATTTTGCTGCCACAACTGAAAATATTGGGTAGGTCATCGCGGGGCCATAACTCACTTGTTTCATTGAGTAAAACTCCATATTAAGGTAACCTTGTTCGTCATCAATTAAATTATTCTCTAGAGGGTATGTCATCATTACCACATCAGCTTGTTTGATTCCAACAGAGGAATTCATGCCTGAATATTCCAATGTAATGTTTTGCGAGTTGTCCGCCGTGGGGATGTATATATCGCTTGCAATTTGATAAAAAATTTGTGGAACTTGTTCTCCCAAATGGTTAGCAACCGCAATGGCCCATTGCATCACCAACGATATACCCGAATTGGTGTAAGCACCATTGTCCACGTGGTTTGCGTACTCGTCTGGGTCTGTTAAGTTATGGGTGGTAAATTTATTAAATGTATCGTTGTATTTCACAAGGTATTCAGTATAGAATGTCGCCGCGTCATTGATTAAGGGAAACGCAACATTTCTCAAGTAGTCATCGTCAACTGCTCCACTAAGATAGAGCTCCCACGCAGCCATTGCAATTGCCAGATTAATGTGATATTCATAGTCCAAGCAAGGGCCAGTTGCAGTGCAATTACCAAATCTTCCACTCGTCCAAGGATACACGGCTCCCCCGTACCCCTTTGGTACATTTTTCAACGCTTGTTCATGAGTATGCAATCTATAATTTACAATACTTTTTGCGTGTGAAGGAACAAACGGCAAGATTCCATTAAACATCCAAAGATCAGTATCCCAAAACACCATACCACCATAACTATCTGAGCTCAATCCAGAAACTCCCACTGCGCCCGTTAAACCCTGAGCATTAGATCTCGTATTTGCTAGTAAATGAAACATGGAAGCTTTTGCACCAAGGTCTAGGAGGGGCTCACTTGGAAAAGATATTCTTTCCAGAGTACCTAAAGTTTCGGCCCAGGCGTCGATATGTGATTTTATTAGCATTCGAGGATCATCCTTGTTTTTTTGGACTATTTGCTTTGCGGCTTCTCTAACGTCGCTTGCGGTACTCAAAGTTTCGGGATCCAAGTCACTAGATATTATCCCAACAACCTTCCTTAATTGCACATTATCATTTGCTCCTACTTGTAGTTTTGCTGTTTGATTCACTACTCTATCTGTAGATTGTCTTTCTATGTTTCCATCACCAATGAGTAAACTTGAATATATAGCACCATGCACATAATCAACATTTTTAGGTTGAAACGTCATGTGTATCCCCGTGGAATCATACCCAACAACGTTTAGCTCGCACCTTTTAGCAGTATTAAAATCTATCTCGTCTATAATCGTTAATAACACTGTTTTGTTTGCGCGGTTGTGCACGTCAAGTGTGACCAACCCCAAACTGAGCTCCGATTTGTGAGCCAATACTGTAAACTTGATATCAATTTCGTCTAACCATGTATATTGTGTAGTCACAATTCCGCTCGAGAGTGATAAATTCTGCATGTAGTTGCTTATGTTTCCCACATCCAGATGCCCAAGGGACAGATCCAAGGTATATTTCTTGCCATCTCTGTACATTTGGACTTTTAAAGTTGTCCATTGTGGCACGGCCGCAATGACGCTCTCATACCCATTTTCCAACAATTCAGGAAAATTTGTTCCCGTTGTGTTTTCTTGTAAATCATAGAACCCTGCAATGAAAGCTCCAGCAAAGCGCCTGGTAAACAAAGGCCATCCGTTGTAAAGATCATTCGCGTCACCAGATGCCTCAAAATCTGGCAACAGGTCATAAGCAAATCCTTGCCCCAAATTGGGGATCCTACTTCCAATGTATCCATTTGCAACGTATGGTTGTCTCTGGTACTGATTATGATTGGTAAATTTCATAGTTCCAAGAGTATTTAGCTTCTTATCATAGTACGCATCCTCGGAAAACTTTAGCTGGTTAAATATTTGCTTGTTTGCCGAGCTATTGACCAAATCCTGTAAGCCAGAATCCATTGATTGCAACCTAAAATAATCGTCTGTCTCCGTATCCACCATCGCTTTTACCTCTTCCATTTCTACTTTTGGCACCAAAAAGGGGAAAGCTGCACAAAACCTTGCATTTAGAAGATGTAGACTGTAGAAAAGGACAAAGTTGGCTGCTATTGTCATTGATATCATTATAGCCTTGCTTTTACTGCCACCGCTGCTACTACTATTGAGACTATCTCGTATCGATTTCCGCCTCCTGGAAGTGTAGCAATATATATCTTCTTGAAAGGGTAACACATTTCCACCAGGCATAATATATATATATATATATATACAAATAGGAAAAAAACCAAACTAAGCTGCAGGTCGAAGCGCTGGAACGATGGTGTGTGTGACAGGCCCTAAGTAGCAAATTACTAATTTGGTGTAGTGATATTTGGTTAGTAGATTATTTCCTGCATCTATATTTAACAGTATTAACGCTTCTTGTTTTTCTGTTAACAAATTAGGCAAGTCAAAGATCTTTTACAATTTTAGAACCATGGGGGAAAAAAAGAGGAAGGAAGATCGTATTGTAACGAGGAGAGCTGAAAAAAGTAAGAATCAAAGCACATATATTTGTAAAAGTAGACTCACTCACAACACTTTCTCGCTCTGCTCGATAGTGCAAGCAAACTAATGTTTGCCAATAGTAGCAGTTGAGAATTCACTATTTCGTCAGGTCAAAGAACTCAACAATAATGTATGAAGGCTGAATTTTAGTATTCTTTTGTTTTTCTTAATAGCTAAGGAATGTATAGGAAGAAAAAAAATAAATAAATAAATAGAATCTCTCGAACAAAACAAGTCCCATGCCCATAACCTTTAAACCTCACTTTGTATAAAAGGGGGAAAAAATGCATTTGCATTTCGATGCAGTAGACAACAAATACTCTGGAACGCTTTCTGAGAAGCAATTTAGGGGGGAAAGTGCAGACAAGAAGCCACTATCATCTAATTGATAGAGAACGAGTTAATATCAACTTGACAATAATCTTGCTGCACAAAAGGTTTGCGGCTAATGGCTTTGGCTTTGAGCTACCATGTGTCAAGCACGTGATTATATATCTGATAGAGGAGCCAATTTTCATGGGTCTACCACCACCAATCTGGCTTCATTACAAAGCTCATGCCTTAGTTACTTGCCAACTACCTGTAACTTCGAAACACTTGATCAAAATGTACATGGTGAAACCATTAACCATGCCTATTGAAAAAGCCTTCTGCATAGATTGAGATTGCTTTTTATGTTCCTAATACAGTTTAAAGAGGGCAAACTAAGAGATTTTTCAAATTTTTTTTTTTTACTCATCTTCCTTACTTAAACTGATAGCAAGGAATGTGTTCTGATGAATAATCATAGACTACTATTTGTCACTATTATTTCCGTTACAACTAGTATTGGAATGTACTGAAGTAAATTTTTCGGTCTAATAATGAGTCATTCACTAATAGTTTTGTCCATCTACATGGACAGAGCCATTATTAAGACCCCCATCAATTTATTAGGTCGCGGCATTCAGTAAGTAAAAATGTTTCATGGTGTTTCTCTTTTCTTTTTCACTGAAAAAAAAAAAAAAAAAAAAAAAAAAATTTCAACTTTAGTCAGCTTCATTTAACTATTAGAAGAGAAGAAGACAAAGGTATTCCCAAAGTTACGTTAAGACTAAGACCCTTGGAAAAAGATGAGCTCTACAAACTGCAGATTTTATGAGAACAAATATCCCGAAGTGGATGAGGTCGTAATGGTTAATGTCCAAGAAATTGCCGAAATGGGAGCATATGTCAAACTTTTAGAATACGATAATATTGAAGGTATGGTGTTATTATCAGAGTTATCGAGAAGGCGTATACGTTCGATTCAAAAATTGATTAGAGTAGGTAAAAACGAAGTCGCAGTTGTCTTGAGAGTTGATAAGGAAAAAGGGTACATTGACTTATCAAAGAGAAGAGTTTCCGCAGAAGATATAGTTAAATGTGATGAAAGATACAACAAGTCCAAAGCAGTTCATTCAATATTGAGGCATTGTGCAGAAAAGTTCAACATTCCCTTGGAAAAATTATACGAAACGGTTGGATGGCCGTTGAGCAGGAAATACGGGCATGCTTATGACGCCTTCAAATTGTCAATTGCAGACCCTTCAATATTTGAAGGTCTTGAAGCTCCATATCCAGGTGTATTAGAAGAGTTGAAACTATACATATCAAGAAGATTGACCCCTCAGGCTATTAACATAAGGGCCGATGTCGAAGTTTCGTGTTTTGGTTACGAAGGTATCGATGCAATTAAAGAAGCTTTGAAAGAAGCAGAATCAGTCTCAACTGAACATATGCAAGTGAAAGCTAAGTTGGTAGCCGCACCATTATACTTCCTTTCTGTTCAATCTTTGGATAAAAATCAAGGTGTTGCTCTTTTGGAAAAGGCTATAAAGAAAATCGTTGAAAGTATAGAGTCAAATGGCGGAATTTGTAAAGTCAATATGGCACCAAAAGCAGTCACGGCTAGTGATGATGCGGAACTCGAGCGTATGTTAGAAAGCAAGGAGGCCGACGATAAAGACGAATCGGATGATGAAGACGAGTAAGTATTGTATACACACATATATATATATATATACATCCATCCATCCATCCATCCATCCATCCGTAGATGAATGTGTATAAATAGTAAGCTTTTGTTTATAGATCCATTGTTTTCTTCAATAGTAGAGAATTGTTGTTGGCTCTTTCAATGATATAAGCAGGCAAATTCGGAATTAACGAAGGAGAAACGCGCAACTCGGTCAATGATTCAGGGAGTACGAAATTTTCAAGAAACGAAAGCTCTGGATTGCCGCTCAAGTCCAAAACTTTTAATTGATCTCCAAATTTGAGATTTCTCACATATTTCAACTCATTGTAGGCCAAACTTAAATGGCGTAGACTATTTGGAAACTCGTAATTCTCAAGAATTCTTATACCATGATAACCCAATCTCAAGATCTTCAAGTTGGGCGGAAGAATAATGTCTCTCAAGGTGATAATCTGTTTTTCGTTTTTGTACGACTCTGGGTCATTCTCCAAATCAAGCACTTCTAATGACTCTGGAAATACAACATTTTTTAATGTCGTCAAAAGATTGTCTCCCAAGTATAGTTCTCGAAGTGTTGGCGGTAGCAGCACTTTATTTAGTGTTTTAATATTATTCAGATTCAAATACAAGATCTCGATCGAGTTTGGCAATTTTAACGGATTCACACTATTAATTCCGTTCCCCGTTAACACTAGGACTTTGAGGTTTGACGGAAGTTTTAAACCACGTGCACTAGTCATGGAGGATTGGAGATTTAGAACTTGGAGCAGGTCTGGAAACTTGACCCCAGCCATTGACTCACTGGGGAGGTTAGAAAGTTCAAGGTATTTTAACTTTGACGGGAGCTTGACACCCCTCATATTTTCAATAGGATTAAAGCCGAGATTCAAGGATTCCAAATGGCTAGGCCAATTCACATTCCAAATATCCTCTAGTCGATTTCGTGACAAATCTAAATGTCTTAAACCTTGAGGAAGTGGTGTGTATTCGAGAAAGTAGATCTTGTTATCCTGTAGCTCAAGCCTCTCTAGGGTGTCAGGAAACTGCACATTATCAAGAGTAGCAATGGCACCTTGGCCGGCTACTAAGACCTTTAGTCCCCGAGGCATCTTGAATCCCGATAATGTATTTAGAGCGTATCCGCCCCCAATATTTAAATTCTCAAGGGTCTCTGGCAAGTCTATTGCAGGAAAAGATCTCAAGCTACTCTCACTGTAATCCAAGGTTTTAAGGTTTTCCCAATATGCTATATCCAGTTGAATCTCCTTGCGTAATTGTTCTAGTTCATCTCTTCCTGTAAGATTTATTGCATCCATATCATACTTGTTGACTATGGAGCAATGAGTGACTTTTTCACCTGCAACTTCCTTGAGAGTCTTTAGAAAGTTGCTATACTCGTTGAGTTCTTCTTGTGAATACTGGCTCCATTCCTTACCTGGTTGAAAGTGAATGTGGTAGCCAATGTCACCAACTTTACCAATCATATCGGCATAACTTTTCAAAAACTCACTAATCTTGTTCATGTTTGGGTTAACTCCTTTACCAAACTCTATGCAAATATGGAAATGGTCAAAGTATATCGATGAGATTGTAGTTTCCTCTAAAACTTTTTCAATATTGTTTACTTCAATTACAGATACATAATTGTTGGTTAGTTCTCTTAACTCTTTGAGTTGAATGATCGTATGATAATACTTTGGTTCTCCATATAGTAGAACCAATCTATTTACAGGTTTTGAGGTTGGAGTTGGAGTGGTCATGATGCTCATCTCATCTTAAAGTACGAGAGAGAGAGAGAGAGAGAGATAATTATCATCAAGCGCGCTCAAAACTCCAAACAAACACCACGCTTAAGAATCAAAGGGAAAAAAAAAAAAGAGGAATGGTCAAACAGGTATTGTTATTATCACCTCCTCCCTCAACCCTCTACCCTCGCCAGTCAAATTTCTACCTATTTAGGCCTTTTCCGAGCTTCTAGCAAATAACAGTTTAAAAACATCTAAAAATGGGACTGTAACTGAAGTGATTTCAGCATGGTCTGGGTCTATATTGTTTTCGGTGTTGATTACTCGATCTCTAGCCTTGATATAACCTCTAATAAATAACAAAAGTGTAGCACACGCAAAAAACATAATACCTGTGAAAATCGAACAATCTCTATAACTACCAGGATTCACAGTGGTACCACTTCCTTGTATTAACTTCACACCAATAACAGGTGAAAACGTACCCGCGACGCCCATTATAGACCATAGTTGACCAAAAACAACATTCATTTTCTTTATCCCAAATATTCTTGCTAGTAATGGTGCAATAATCGCGTATATAGTCCCCATTAACGCCCCCTCTATCAATGCAAATATGATAACAGTTGCATAATTTCTTGCTGGTATCCACATTGCCAAACAAAATATCCCAACAATATAATAGGCAATGAAGCCAACCGTTGCTGCACCATAACGATCCGATAAAGCTCCAATTACAGGTCTACCAAACAAAGAACCAACCTGGACCATTGCAGACACAATGGAACCTTGTCTTTCAGAATAACCCAAGCTGGTAGTGAAATTGGCCAATGTGTACAAAACAATAACATAGCCAAATATGCATGTAATGATGAAGAGCATCGTCAACCAAAATGCTGCCATTTTTAAAACTGAAAAATCAAAAAGATGGAATTGAATTCCATGACTGCTTGCTTTGCTTTTAGTTAGAAAAATGGCGATCCAAGTTAAGCCAAAACCAATGATACTTTGCACTCTCAATGCCCAAAACACACCCTTTGTATCTACTACTTTCTGCATACCCAAATTGAATACAATACCTCCTAAGCCCGATCCTGCTGCACCTATACCTGATGCCATGACTCTTTTTTTCTTGAACCATTGAGGTAATATTGTGGTTGCCGGTATGGAAAGAAACGCTAGTCCGAAACTTTGCATCAACCCTTGTGTGAGGTATAATTGCCAAAGTTTTCTGGACCAGCTCGCTAACATCAACGCTGTAAACTGAAGACAGTTGCCAACTATAAGCACACTTCTAAATCCAAAAATGCCCATAAAAAATGTGATCAATGGTGAGAAAAAAAGACCAACACCAAATGCCATGCCACCAATATAACTATAGTCCATCTTTGTTGCATCGTGAAAAGTATCATTTATCAAGTAGTTGGCGAAATATATGGCAAAACCGGAGTTCATACCCCATGTACAGAAATTGAATAGTACACATGCCACTAATATGACCCAAGCGTACCCCTTGTCTATATTGGGATCCTTTTCATTGAGATCCTTTGTTGGAGGATATACTTCTTCAGGATCTACTGGCCCTCGCTCTTCCTCTTTATTGTTTTCTAGTTTCTCATCTAGAGTTGGGTAGGTAAGTGTATCTGCAGACTTTACATTAAAAATCTCACCATCTTGGGTCATTTTGTACCTGATGAAAAAGTATTTCTAGGCATCCCCGTTGAGGGTGCATACCTAGTCATCTCTAGATATTTTATACGGTTAAAACAATCTACATATCGAGTAAGTGAATTTTATCTTTTATTATATTTTTTTTTTCTTTTTCTTTTTCTTTTTCTATTGTCTATTATTTAACAGATGTTGCCGCAAAGCTTAACAATAGTGAAATTTCAGTAAGATTTGATGCGACTAAGTAGATACAAAAATTATAAATGGTGTGGAGGTTTTTTATAAGTTTGGGGGTAGCTCGAAAATGACGTGTGTAACTCCGCAAGTACGGAAATCAAGAATAGATGCCACGTAACCTGTATAGTTTCTAGGTTATACACTATATGTTTTTAAATGAACTTACAATTGTAGTTTTAAAAGGGGAGAGAGGCTCAATGTAAAGATCCGTAAATCTTGTAAATTGGAAGTTATCAATTGCCTCTCCTGAATCTGTTTTGTAGCAAAGAACAAAAAAGTATTCACAGTCAAAGGGTTAAATCCGTACAAGTAGAAAAATAACTTTGTAGTTGGATAATTTCTCTTACCAATTACTGGTATCAAGAGTCGGAAATAAAGTGTCCAAATTCGGGGAGTGCGTCAAAACTCGAGGGTTCTCGGAAGTAAAGTGATCCATATCCGAGAAACGCAAAGTTACTGAAGCGGAAATTGCAATCATTCTCGTGCGCGGCGCCCTTGTATTCTCTCATCTCTTGATGCAAAAAAAAAAAAAGTTTAAGCCTCTTAATTTTTGCGGCGGATAAATGGTTTACCCGAAAATTTAAAACTTATCTTTTGGATCAAAAAGTATAAAGCATTCATGGCTAAATAGTATGAGATAAAAATCAATTTAATTCAGTTCAGGAAGTTTTGTCATACTCCGTATAATTTGCCCACCATGGGCAAGTTATACGGCATGGGCAAATTATACGGAGTACCATGCAAAGGATTGCTTTTTCGTAGATTGACTATATCGTAGAGAAGACCTATTTGCCTCAAATTAATGCAAAAAAAAAAAAAGAACGAGAGTAGAAAATTTAACACCGACTTTTATTGTGTAAAAATAAGAAGGCAATTAAAGACAAAAAAAAAAAAGTATTCACTCATTTACTAAACCAACTAGGTAAATAAAGTCAATTAGCTCTCTCCCAGACAAAAAGTTCGCTTAACACATGGGTATGGTTGTGCGTTCAAAAATAAAGAAAAAAAGAGGAAAAAGAAAAAAAAGAGGGGGTGAGCCGGGAATCGAACCCGGGACCACTCCTACCCTAAAGAAGTATTATACCACTAAACCACTCACCCAAACTTGCAGAAATTGAACCCCTCAGAAACATATTATACTTTTCAATCTTGTCTCGTGATATAATACTGCATTGAGCTTATCACGATGAGCTTCTTTATCATCAATTTCACAAAACTTATGGGTTGCACAGATTTCTTTAAGTGGGTGTATCGAAACCTCAATCTTCATGATTCTCTTTCGCTTAAAACGCGTACAAAATGATATTTACAAAGAAAAGGTAGTATTTGGAGATGTAGTTTTACTCTTGAGATCACCCCAAAAATGCAACCTTAAACGTTACAAAACACGGGTTGGATATATATATATATATACTTCAAGTTATTTCTGCAATATTGCAAAAAAGCGCATATTTGTTCTATCCGTAGTAGATTTCAGTCTTTGCAAGTTAGCTTCTTAGTTTTCGTGTTCTTTCATTTTTCATTCTTTGCATTTTTCAGTTTTTCAAATTTTCAAATTTTCAAATTTTCAGCTTATATTTTTCATTTGATTTTGCAGACAAAGTCAATTCGGGCGTAGAATGATACTACGAGCGCCTTTTAAGGGGCTCCTCAAACTTGCAAGATGCTACTCAACGGTTAATGAGATTCAGTTATCCAAGACTAGAAACATTGGAATTATTGCTCATATCGATGCTGGGAAAACGACTACGACTGAGCGAATGATATATTATAGTGGAAAGAGCAATAGGATCGGTAACGTTGATGAGGGAGATACCGTGACCGATTATTTACCATC